GAGCATGCCTAGTCGTCAATCGCCTCGTCACACAATGTTGGCCGAAATAGGTTCAGGCTGGAAAAAGACTCGAGGTGGTCACACTAAAACAAGGCATCAATGTGTGAAGTCTCTGATTGTTGGTATGAGTCATGTGGGGTGATGCAGACTAGGTGGTTGGAGTCCATCCGTGGGGCAAGAGAAACTAGTGGTTTGAGACTGACTCTAGGTGATATGGTTCAGAACCGTTGTCAGTGGCGCAGATGTATACATACATTATCCCCATCTTAACAACGCTATACCGAATCTCACCACTTTCTTATTCTTCCTTTCTCTCTTTCGTACTTTATATTTTTTTTGACCGAAATTTCTCTTCTTCATCTTCCACTTGACTGCCTTTTTACTTGATGTACTGACATGAGGTGTGGGAACTCGGAGCGTTGGGCAGTAATGCCTGGTCCTATGTTGATTATGATGGTGAATGTGCAGGATCATATTACAATATTTCACTACCGTAACATGTTATTCAAGTCATCTGTATACATGCAAGTATTTTACTGATTGCAATGGTGAAGATCCAATAGCTTGTTGCTTAAATCAAATGAAAGAGAACTCTACACCAAGATTCCTGTATAGTTTCGGCAAAAAATAGCGGTAGAAGTTACAATATGCAATAAATCCTATGCATGATCAACTAAAACTGAAACTTCATGTCGAGGTGAAGAAGTTAACATGCTAACACTGGCTTTCATGTGCTTCTAATAATCTCGAAACTTTTCCTGTCCCAATTTAAACCCATGTAACTTGGAATCTTCACATTAGTCTTTGGTAACTTTTATGCTTGACAAATACCTCTTTCAATCACACTAATAATTTATTGGATGAATAATGTAGCCATTTGGATTCTAACTTTACGAGCATGTCCAAAGTTAGATCTTTCAGTAACTGTATTGATTAAACCTAGTTTTATCCCATAACGATCCAGGTTACAATAGTTAACATTAAAGCATAAGATAAAAGACAAAGAAATAGGGACACTAATTAAAATTCTATGCTATTTGGGTCCTTAGATATTTCATACACATGTCCAATATATAGAACTGCTTCTTTCTGTGGCATTTGATAAACTAAATAAAACGGAATTCCAATTACTTTTACATTTACATGATAAAAGTTGTAGGAAGCAGGGTTGGGTCAAATCATGAAACTTGATGTAATCATGAAGATGACGCATACACTTGCAACATCGGTTGCTTTTAGGACACATAACAATCCCTACCCTTCGGTTTCACTTGTCTCATAGACTACAATCTTCAGCCTATTTTCCCTGGACACGGTTCAAACGTCAGGATCGACGCTACATCTTGGTTTTGTTACAGTCAACCTTTTTATTCCAATTCTGCTTCATACTGAGATGAAGTACAGATACTCAAGGTGCGAAAAATATGTTCTAGCAGTTTCAGTAGGTGACTTATGACACTATTAACCGTCACACTTCTTTACATAAAACACGATGCCTCACACTGCTCACATGGTTACACAACACGATACATACGAGTTAGTTGCTTCCCTTAAACACTGTTTTTGAGCTCATTAGGTGTCAAATTATTTCGGCTACTACGACTTCACGGCTTTTCATTAGCGAATTCACTAACATAATACATGAAGTATTTTTCCTTACTTACGATCTTTAGCAACGACTACACAAACAGTAAGAAGCAACTAGAATAAACTTTGAAAGCATAACTAATATTTCGCTTTGTAAGTACATCCTGATCATGATTTGTAGAGGTTTCTGGAAATGACCCACCACAGCCAATCATTTTTTCTCGCATCTAGTTTGTCACGCTTTACTTTAATTAAGAGATGCTGAACCAATGTCGATGTACAATTTAAGATCTAGTTGTGGCTAATAATCGAAAGTAATCGTGGAATGATGTTGACACTCAATTTTCATGAGACCTAGAATACGCAGATGACATAGTCCTGTTGGGTGAAGACACTGACAAGATGCAGAGTCTTCTGAACACTGTGAGTGGCAGTTTGAGAATGTTTGGGATGTATTTCTCACCACCCAAATGCTAATTGTTACTCCAGGATTGTTCTGCAACAGTGCCCCACCTTGGCTAACAAAAGAGTGAGTGTAGTAGATGAGTGTGTCAACCATTTCACTTACCTGGAAAGTAGGATCAACTCTAGTGGCTAGCTCAGTGGACAATGAAATCTTTGCACAAATACTAAAGGCTCGGCTGGCTTTTACCAACTGACACCACCTATGGCGCCACCGTGATATCCGATTGTCTGTCTATTAAGGGTCGTGTGTACTGCACCTGCACATCAATCCACTCTGTCTACACTATGGCTGTGAAACTGGTCATTGAAGGTGGAAGATGTGAGAAGGCTGGCTTCAGGTGTTTGATAACCGTCGCCTTCATAGCATAAGTTGTGTATTGTGGTGTCACCACGTGAGTAACGCAGAAGTCAGGTGTAGAGTATTAGGGGGGGGGAGAGGTGAGACAGTTGACACTGTTGTGAGCCTTCATCGACTGAGATGGCTTGAACATGACATGTGTTGAGCATGCCTAGTCGTCAATCGCCTCGTCACACAATGTTGGCCGAAATAGGTTCAGGCTGGAAAAAGACTCGAGGTGGTCACACTAAAACAAGGCATCAATGTGTGAAGTCTCTGATTGTTGGTATGAGTCATGTGGGGTGATGCAGACTAGGTGGTTGGAATCCGTCCGTGGGGCAAGAGAAACTAGTGGTTTGAGACTGACTCTAGGTGATATGGTTCAGAACCGTTGTCAGTGGCGCAGATGTATACATACATTATCCTCATCTTAACAACGCTATACTGAATCTCACCACTTTCTTATTCTTCCTCTCTCTCTTTCCGTACTTTATATTTTTTTGACGAAATTTCTCTTCTTCATCTTCCACTTGACTGCCTTTTTACTTGATGTACTGACATGAGGTGTGGGAACTCGGAGCGTTGGACAGTAATGCTTTGTCTTATGATGGTGATGATGATGGGATGTGATAAATTGAGTGAAGGTACTTTTTTAAAATATTTACACTGTTTCTTTCTTTTTATCCACGGGATGAATCCATGCTTTTCTATGTACGCTTGCTCAGGGTTTAATATTACCGAATTATTTTTTCCTTACTATTTACCGAGAGTAGAAGACGAAGTCGCTTCAAAAGGAATCCTTATTGACCGTTTTGTTTTGTTTGCTTTGGAACGCAAGTGAGAGAAATGTCTACAGAAAGTTTCAACGATTTTTCATTGCTGCCAAAGAATTTGGAAAACGGCTAATATTGGCATTAACCTTTGCTTTAGACAATGTGATCTTGTTAGATTTGTCGCTGTAATACATGCTATTTATTGGATTGCTGCACTTTTACCGCTTTGTATTGTAGGACTGTAATTGAAATGAGTGGAAATGACTAAGCTCATCACAGGATATTTTATTTACCTTTGTTTGCGCAGACGTCCTAGAGAAAAAAGCTCACAGCTGACGATGACCACTTGGCAGGCTGTGATTTACTAGCTGGGCTTAAATTATGAAATATAACTTTCTGGTTATGTTATTGTAATGATTTTTCATCTAATATATCATAGTGACTTCAAGGGATACGTCACATTATCTGGTTCTGTACCATTCAGTCAAACAGCTATGCAGACAAACGGAATCAACGTAAAACCTCACTCACATGTAAATCCGTTCAAGTTGCCACATTTTACAGTAGAATACAAAGAAAAGGTGGATAGAAAAAGACTGATATCAAAGTAAACAAAGTTATATGAGAGAATAATCAATTTGAAGACAAAGGTTAATGTGAATATTCAAGCTTTAGAAGATGTGAACTAGTGAATACATCTGCACCATTGTGACAGATTTTCAGCCATATTACGAAGAGTCCTCAACCATTAATTCCTGTCATCTCGAGGACCCCAACCAGGCGATCTACACCTCTCCACATGACTTCTTGAACTGGTGCCCACATCTTGATCTGGCCATCCTGAACCGTCTTCCAACCTAGTTCAATTTCCTGTACCATGGCACTTCGAGGTAGGCGGTGACTAGACATGTGGAGTACATGTTCAAGCCATCTTAGTCAGTGAAGGTTCTTAACCTTATGAATTAACATGACTGTCTTGCCTAGTACCCTTCCCTTGACCTCAGAGTTGCTTACGATGATCCCATCAAACCCGAGCAATGGTACGAAGACACATACGATCCAAAACCTGTAACCACTTCATGCCGTACATGTCTAACAGCTGTATAACATGACAGTGCGAACTGCAGCGCATTATACTCATCGTTTGATAAGTAGTTGAATATTTCACCTACCTGATGGGCAACGCAAGTTAGCGAACGCCAAATGGACCTTCTGTATCTGAGCTGAGGTTTCGTTAGCAACCAACCCGTTCGAGTTGATACAACTCCCCAAGTAAGTGAAGTTGTCGACACATTCCACCACTTCACCCCTCATCATTAAACTGGAAGTACTTGCAGCCTACCAGTCTTGAAGCATGATCTTACATTTGACAAGTGACAGCAAAACGCATGCCAACCGAACATACTCAGATTTCTGCTCAATGGGTTCAGAAGATCATGCATCTTGTTAGCGTCTTTACCTAGAAGGATAGTATCGTCTGCCTAGAGTAGTAGATCAGTCCCTGTGAAATCAGATGTACCTAAGATTATGTACATTCGTATGTCTGTAACAAAGCCATACAATAGCTACTAATTCAATCCTTAGTTCCATAGTTTCTCATGGTATAAATTCTACCTTTTTATGCAGTGACGTCATACTATTCATAGATAATAAATGGTAATGATTGTATTTTGATTGGGCGGTTTACTATACTTGGCCTTCACAGTTTTTTCTCTGTTGATTGTGAACGGTTCAAATTCACTTTTCTAATGGATGGCCAGTTATGCTGTAAGTTGATTTGTATATCATTATACTTTTGTAGCTTATTTCAAGTTCTGATATTTTAATTTTTTTTTTAGATAAATGGAGAATTCTGGAGGAGTTACACCAGTAAAAGTCTGTCCGTATGGTGATGAATTCGGAGTAACTACTCCATCCGGAGGTTTAATTTTCAATCCATTTCACAGGGAGTTTCTAAGTCGTGTTGGACAAGTGAATTTTAGTCCTGGAATATTTGCTTACAATCCCAGCCCGATAAGTAAAAGTGGTTCAAGAAGAAATACTCCTAGTAGAACAAATGCACCTTTCATCTTATCTCCTGACATGCAAGGAGAGTTATTTCCCGCTGATATAGATGAAAATCCTATCCTACAACTGAAACTTCAAGAAAAGTTGGATACACAGGTAGGCTTTTTTGCACTTATTTGACCTATTCAAGGTTCTCCTGGCTGATGCATTTGACCTTCACATGTAAACAGTCCATATTCCATTGCACTACATTTGTGTTGGTGATGCATAAGGATAGGTTCATATACCATGTGTATTTGTTCATTTACACATATCTGCGAGTACTGTCGGGGAAGTATTTTACGTCATGAATGCCTGAATAGGATAGCCCAGAACTTAGTACAGTCAAGTGACGTTTTCAGGAAGCAAATTACTAAAGCGATACGAGGATAGATCGGATTGAAATGAAAGATGTGTATCACTAGCATAGGTTCGGATAAATACCGCCTTACAATTCTAAAAACAGATTTCATCTTTCTTGGGAATGCCAATTACAAGTCCATACTCATTTAGACTCCTGCAACCGCTAATGGATAACCTCATCAGTCGTGACTGTTTAATCGCCCATAATCTTTTGTTACAATATTGTTGAACTTCAGATCACAGGTTAACGTAATTGGTGACAAGAATCACACTTCCAATTAGACTTAGACTAGTTTACTATAATTCTCTTAACGTAACTGACCGCTATTAACTTGTTACGTCAACCCTAAGCAAGAATTATTTAAGGTTTCTACCACATATGTTGTATATTCATGTTTTTTTAATCATTTGGTTTTAAGTGTTATTCTGTAGAAACTAACAGTTGTGGTAAACATAGGCAGTGAATATAACTATATCAATGGTGCAGAATGACTCAACTCTTATCCACCTCCGAGTATTAAACAGCTTACTGGATTCACATTCCTCCTTTTATTGTTGTTATCATATATTATTCTTGTATTAAGTGTACGAAAAATCTTCACCAAGATATATAGAAGTATTTCAGTCAACATGCTGTTTTCGGCTATTTTTATTCTCAGAAATGTTCAGTGGTTGGAATAATTTTTTATTTTGCTCAGAGACATGGTAACAAAGACAATAATTTGTCATAAGTTAAAGATTGAAAAGAAGTTTCTAAGTTCAGTGGAAGTTGGATTTCCTGACAACGAGTGTGCAACATGATAAAGTATTTGAAGGATGAATTTTCAACAGAAAGCATGGCAGAATGGAAGAAGAGGTGATTCGGAACATGAAAGACGAAGAGGTTGAACGAGTCTTTTTTTTTTATGCACAGCTCTGGATTTTCTATGTGGATAGCTAAAGCTCTACCATTACAAAGAAGGCAAATGCATACAACTTTTTCAAGGTTCCTTTTCACGCTGTAGATAACTTCCACAACACCCACTCTCTTCAATAGCACGCAGTGAACCGCACTGGCTTCATCTATTCTGTCCTCCTAGAGTTAAAACGAAATATTTGCTGGAGATCCTCCAATGGATGTAAGATATTCACTGAATACACCACCGAAATTACCAGCAAGTGAACACAAGCTGTTCAATCCAAACTCACTAAGTCTTAAATCTATCGAAATCCATCGTAAATTTCATGATAACCCGATGAGATTTGCATTTAATCACTCCTCAGTATCCTTATTGACCTTACGATATAAAGTCTTATCAACGAATTTGAAATTCTCCAATATCAATCACAATAGTAACAAAACTCAGCATATTTAGTAATGATGGGCAGTGGCTAGCAGTGGAACCCAGGATGCGCATTTCGCCCTATTTGGAACTCGTTAGCTGGATGTACCTGCTTCCCAGTGAGTGATGTTTTCCCACCGGGACTCGGACTCGGGAGCGATCGCTTCAAACGCCAGCGCGTTATCCACTACACCACCAAGCCACGATAGCCACTTCTTGTGCAACGGGTATAGGTTTTAGTGTTATTGCTTGTATCACACCGTCGTTGATTGGACCGAATTGATCAGCCTTTGTTGGCATATGGGCTCCTATGCGGATGCCTCGAAATGGCCTGTCTTTTAACTATGTTTAGTAATGATGGGCAGTGGCTATCAGTGGAATCCAGGATGCTCATTTCGTCCTATTTGGGACTCGTCAGCTGGATGTACCAGCTTCCCAGTGAGTGATGTTGTTCCCACCGGTCCTATCAACGACGGTGTAATACAAGCAATAACACTAAAACTCAACATATTTGAAAATTTAATCAGTAAAGCTAATGTTCTTGTTCTGGTCTCTGACTAAGAGTTTCAACGTGTCAAATCAACCATCCTTGAATCTTACCATCAATAGTATCTCAACACAAAATGAAGGATTCATTGCCTTTTATAACAAAACGACGTTGAGAACAACTTAAGCGATTGAAATACAGTAAGGATCTACTAACAGCAGAAGTACTGTATAGTTCTATTGGACTGGAAAACTCGGATACACAAAACGTTGGTTCTACTCAGACAACAGTAAATTATCAAAGTCTACTGATGAGAGAAATCAAACAAAGCTGGATGAAAAGTATTTTAAGATTAATAAAGAACGATCAAATAATCAGCAAAGATCTTTGTGAATGAATTTAAGCGACAGATTTTCTAATATCATGACTTAATGGGTTACTACCGAACATACACAAGGGTGGCCTTTGCATGATTCTCCACATGCCCGAATCCTCCTACCATCCGTTAAGTAGTGAAATGGCTTACTGAAATTCTGAAACTAATCAAGAAATATATTATGCCTACTACTTCCGTTATACCTTCGATTTCGTCGAGTAGATGATAGGTATAAATGTTTCTCAAAAGTTTATAATATCTCTTGCTTGATGTGGAACCACTCTTAACCAATGTTCCACTTACGGAACTATTTGCTTCTTATGGAAATATATGGATGGTAATAATAATAATAATAATAATAATCTGAATATCAAAACATCAACTGGATACTTTGAAGAAATACTATTGAGATGCACCTCAAATGTACACTTCCCATTCAACCATATAATTATAAGTATAAATCCTGGGATCGCTATAGGATCTCAAGAGTACCTATTACTGGTAAATTGTTTCATAACAAGTCTGGGAAATAACCGACTAAAGTTAATGATCGATTATTCCCAACTGTATAAAAGGCATAATGATGATATTTTTATCGTGTGTGATAACAAATATGACTTTACTCATGCACTATATGTACTTAACAAATGCTACTCAGGGATTAAGTTCACTCTTGTAGTGAAAGTTGGTTTATAATCCTGTTTGTTTACCAACAACTGACAAGAAAGGCTGATGGAAAAATTGATGGGATCAATTCACAGAAAAACCTAAATGTAATAGCCATTTAACAGTTGAATAAATGCCTATTGATAGACATTCAACTATTAAGAAAGCAATATATGCTGTTGATAATTAATAGGAATAAATTCTGTAGGATGGGTAAAGCAACAATGAATTCTTATGATAAAAGATCAACTTTATGTATAGCGATTCAACATAATCATTGTGTTTGCTGTATTGTTTTTTTCTAGTTTTTGGAATGAACAGCATTACTGTCTTTGTCTCTGGTGTTTGAAGCGGAGAGTATTGGGTCTGAGCCTCGGTGGGAGCGGCAATACTCACTGGGGTGCAAGTACATCCGGCTGACGAGTCCCAAATAGGACGAAACGCACGTCATGGATTCCTCTGCTATTCGCCAAGATCAGCATAACATTGCTGTCTATCTATCTCACTTTGTCTTTGTGTGGACTATAGTTAGTGAATAATCTAACCTTTCGTTTTACTGAAGATTGTGGAACTTCTGCTGGACAGTTTTAACCATAGACGTTTACATGTTACCACTGCTTGGAAGACATTTGTTTTTAGCTTTTCAAAAGCAGGTATTTTTTAATCATTGACGCACCTACTTATGCTGAAGTTTGTTTCTGAAGCCAAACAAGGCAGTTAACATTTAATGCATCAGATATATTCGGTGAACGTCTGAACTAACAGAAGATACCGTCGGTTTCATGAGACACGGTAGTGCTGATCAATGTCTAGCTACCAGTTGGGTAAAGTATGCAGTTCATCATAAAGGTACTAAGCGAGGAAAGCGAATCCTAACTTTTAAAGTAAGAGACCACAAAAGAGTATCCTAGCAGAGACAACCGTAAAAAACATTGGAAACCTGGGAGCACTGAAAAGCGGTTTCGTCCCAGTATTAGACTCCTCAGCAAATTGAATTATTCTAGTGCTCATTGGTGCTTAGCTTCGACAGGTGATTCCTGGAGTTACAATGAGAAGTCGTGACGAGTGCGGCAAACATGGTGGACGTGGGGATAAATGCCCAACGATGACATTGGGTGATAGTCGCTCTGTGTCGTGAACTGACAGCTGGAAATATGGACGATTGGATTCCGCCGACCCAGTGGCTGGGTAGTAACATGCTGGCAACGAAACCTGAAGGTGCTGTGTTCGATCCGTGGTGGGACGGTTGGGTCATGGGTGCGCACTGCTAAGTAGCTGTCCAGTACTCTCAGGCTTCCAATGTTTCTCTGACTGATGTCTGTCCATGATGAATATCAACTTAAGACCACTTATTATCCACTTTTGTTTATCATGATTGGGTTAGTGTAATTGTTTTTTTTCCAGTACTCATGCTTCTTTACACCAAATGAGTCTGTTTTTGAGAAAAAATGACTCAAAACCTGTCATCAGTGTCTTGGCAGATGGCCCCTTATTCGAATGCCTCAATACTCACCTAGTATTCATCATATTGTTCTGTACTTGGTGGCTAGCAGTGGAATTCCCGGTGCACATTTCGCCCTCATTGAGACTCATCATCTAGCTTGGTGGATAACGCTTTGGTGTTTGAAACGATGAACCCTGGGTTCAACTCTCTGTGGGAACAACATCACTCGCTGGAGTGCAGTTACATCCATCTGACAAGTACCAAATGGGACAAAACCTACATCTTGGCTTACACTGCTATAGCCAACAAGTAGACTACCATATTCAAGCTCTTTGTCTAAAAATCGAATGCCTTGACTGTCTAGTCACTTGAAATAAAGATGTTTCAGTGTGTTTTCTTTTGAAATAAAATGAAAAATTCAACTTCTTGTAAATTTATCATGTTTTTCTTTTCCTCCTTATATTTATAGTGTGACGATGAAATTCAGAACAGAATTCATAGCTTCTTTAAAAGTCATTTAATTGCACCCAGCCCTGACACACTTAGTGACACACCATCAAAATGTAAGTGTCAATGAAGTATTTCGTAAATATTTGGGATAATAAAACTACCTTTTTTTTATCACGTGACTAAAAATGGTTTCCAATGTTGTATACATATCTAATACTCAGGGATGATTGGAGGTGAAATAAAGACCAGGGTCACTACAGGATTTGAACTAATGTCCTCTGGATTACCGATCCAATCGTCTACTGATTGAACTCTGAGAACTAGCTTCTGACAAGCTCTTAACCCTACTTATATCATCATAGATGTTAGTTAGCTGCCTTATTAATCCATGATACTTGATTTTCTGTTCATCATAATTACACTGGCTGCACAGACAGATCTTCTTGGCCCAGTTCAAATCTGACTTGATCAAGGAGGGGGGGGGGGGTGTGTGATTTAGTAGACTCATATTATTGATACTGGATAGTGGTTGAAAGTAAAACGTAAACCTGGGCTTACGCAGGATTCGAACTGACGGCCTCTCAGTGGCCGACTCACCTCTCTACCGACTGAATTTATGAGACCTAGCTATTGATAAGGTCTTAACGTCACTGTTTTGTAAATAGCTAAACTTTCTTCAACTTTCCTATCAAATACTTCATATAAAATAGGTTAACCATGTGTGGAAACAGGAAAAAACTGTTGATTCGAATAAATCTAACTTTATAACATGTATATCAATCTTTGCGTTCACTTAGTGAGTCTCATCATTTTTGGACTACATTGGTGCATTTTGACCGTAGCTAAACAATCATCATGAGTCAATGTGTAGTGGGTGCTACTGATTAGAATAGATATAGGTAGTATATGTTGAGAGGTTGGCAGAAATCATCCACATCGACTTAGGACCAGGCATTACTGCGTAACAGTCCGAGTTCCCACACCTCATATCATGGTGAGATTCGGTATAGCGTTGTTAAGATGAGGATAATGTATGTATATATCTGCGCCACTGACAACGGTTCTGAACCATATCACCTAGAGTCAGTCTCAAACCACTAGTTTCTCTTGCCCCACGGATGGATTCCAACCACCTAGTCTGCATCACCCCACATGACTCATACCAACAATCAGAGACTTCACACATTGATGCCTTGTTTTAGTGTGACCACCTCGAGCCTTTTCCAGCCTGAACCTATTTCGGCCAACATTGTGTGACGAGGCGATTGACGACTAGGCATGCTCAACACATGTCCTGTCCAAGCCATCTCAGTCGATGACGGTTCACAACAGTGTCAACTGCCTCACCTCTCCCCCCTAATACTCTACACCTGACTTCTGCGTTACTCACGTGGTGACACCACAATACACAACTTATGCTATGAAGGCGACGGTTGTCAAACACCTGAAGCCAGCCTTCTCACGTCTTCCGTCTTCAATGACCAAGTTTCACAGCCATAGTGTAGGACAGAGTGGATTGATGTGCAGGTGCAGTACACACGACCCTTAATAGACAGACAATCGGATATCACGGTGGCGCCATAGGTGGTGTCAGTTGGTAAAAGCCAGCCGAGCCTTTAGTATTCATGCAAAGATTTCATTGTCCACTGAGCTAGCCACTAGAGTTGATCCTACTTTCCAGGTAAGTGAAGTGGTTGACACACTCATCCACTACACTCACTCTCTATTGTTAGCCAGGGTGGGGCACTGTTGCAGAACAATCCGGGAGTAACAATTTGTATTTGGGTGATGAGAAACGCATCTCAAACATTCTCAAACTGCCACTCAAGTGTTCAGAAGACTTTGCATCTTGTCAGCGTCTTCACATAACAGGACTATGTCTGATGAGGATTCTCCGGGGACTAGGTCAACCTCTGTGTATTCAGGTGACGAGAGGGAAGCCTCCATAAGGGTATCTATGATAAAAATGATTAAGAATGGAGAGAGTGGGCAGCGTTGACGGACATCACCCGACGAGCATAGCTCCCTGGACATCTCACCATAGGCTGTAACACGCCCACAAGTGTTTGAGCGGAGAGCCTTCGATAAGGTGATGTATTTACTCGTCACGCCTTTCAGTGAGAGACATTGCCATAAGACTTCTCGATTGATGGAGTTGATTGCCGCCGCCTTCAGGTCGAGATATACAGAAATCATAGGCAATTACCAGCGATGGGTAAATATCCTACGCATAGAAATGCAAGAGACAATGTAGGCTTATTAAGTCCAAGTCGAGATGGAAGCAGAAGAGAAAATGAAACACATTGTGCAAATGACTACTTTAGTGAAAAGTGTACAATATTTCATCAGTACTGTGCAAGATATCATAATAGACATTCTGTTCTGTGTCTCAGTCTTTGTCGTTCGTTGCAGATGTAATGCTCACTTACATAAATTATACAAACAAACTATTTCTTAAAACAGCCTTTGACATCATATAGATTCTGTGATTTATAAATTATTCATCTATAAAAGGTGAGTTTTACGTATTTTCATTGGGTCTTTGTTGAAACAGTTAGTGTCTTACGGTATCACTTATCTAACCCGATCTTTACATATGACTCATTGAACCGGGCCCTGTCGAAAAATGGAAGTGCACATAATCGTGCAGTAGGCAGCGATGAGCCGCATCTATTATATGACGTCTAGTTGTACTACTATCTGGCTTCCACGCCCCTAAGTAGGTGGTGTGGTTTTCGAACCCGTGACTCATTGCTTAAAAGTCAACTACCCAAACCAATGAGTCACAGCTCTACACCAAGCACTGAAGACTCTAGTGATGTTCTAGGTTCAAACCGTGTCCCACCTACTCTGGTCTAAGCAACTGGATAGTATCACAAAGCCTTCCTGTATTAACTGGACTGACATCAGTTGGAGGAGCATTGGAAGCCTGGCAGCACTAAACAGCTGCTTCGTCCTAGTGTTGGACTCCTCTGCAGTGCGCACAAAGAGCCCTCCCACCCCATCAGGGATCGAATCCAGGACTTTCAGGTCCCTTCTGGTAGAATTAATCTAGCGCTCATTAGTGAACATCTTCGATAGGTGATCCTAGAGATTCCAATCAGAAGTCTTGAGCAGTGTAGTCAACTAATTCAAACATGAGGAAAGTTACTCAGCGACGACATTGGATGTAGGTCGCGTTATATGGTAAACTGACAGAAGTAGATAATATGGACCATTGGATTCCGCCGAGCCAGTGGCTAAATGGTAACGTGCTAGCCACGGAAGGTGCTACGTTCGATCCGTTGTGGGGCGGGCAGAATCATGGGTGTGCCCTGCTGAGGAGTCCCATACTGGGACGAAACAGCTGTTTAGTGCTTCCAGGTTTCCAATGTTCTTCCAATCGATGTCAGTTCATGATGAATCCCGACCTAAAATAAATTTCTATATGCTAACGAATAATGATCCAGGTAATTTTATGTGACAGTAACCAATTATCGTCGGCTCTTTTTGATAGTAAGTCTGGGTGTTAAGATTATAAACCTTGACGTGTAACATCGCCAGGAATTTATAAGAAGTTTCCAATTAAAGTATAGCAAATATATATCAAAGTTTCTACATACAGTAACCAAGCTTCTCCCAATTCATCTACATATTTACACTTCTGTCCACGTCCCCTGCATTAGTTATGTAGATGGAACATACAAGTAAAGGGAAGATAGATTTTGCAAACCATCTAGGCTACCTTACCTCTAAAGTTGTGTATACATCAAGGTGTGGCAATTTTCAACCTAGTTGACCTGTCACTCGTCTATCTAGACAGCTGACTTTTATCTATGCGTAACACAGTCGAATCCTGGTCAACCCACTCAGGTTTGGGTAACTAGGTAGCATGATTACCTTTTACACCTAAGATATGGTTATTAGGTGGTAACATCGAATACAATCCACCTATTAACTTAACTGTTCTTACCTCAGGTCCATTACGTAGTAGTGCTGTTGAAGGAAATGAGAAGGCAGAGACGAAGGAAGAAATGTTCATTAATAACATCTGGTATAGTAGTCCTCACTTATAGTGCACCTTGCGCTAAAACAATCATTTCCTCTTCTGCTTCTTTCTTCATTTGTTCTTAATATCCTCACAATGTCTTTTGCATTTCTTTGGGCAGAATCCTTACCCATTGCTGGTAATTCCCCCTCAACATTATACTACTTATATCCATTTTGACTAGCAACGCCTACTACACTGAACTGGATGGTACTCCATTGCTGTGATGTTTATTTCATGGAAATTATTATAGGCTGTTGTACTGTGATCGTCGAATATGTGAAGTGGTCGCCTCCGGATACCATGATTGTTGACTCAGAATAATCTGGATATTAGAAAACCGGCTTGTAATAATAATATTAAGCTGATGGTCACTTGTTCGAGTCCGACCGCGGTCAGAATTTCATATCACCTTCAATCATCACATAGTATTAGTGATACTAGTCTGTTAAACCACGGCTGCTATCTCAGATAGTCAAATCGATAATCATTACTATGCTCCTCCCTCTTTAATTCAGTTAGATTTCGATTGAAGTGAGAAGTCCTGACTTAGGCAGTCAGTGTGAATACGATTAAGCGGTATTAAAGCATCATAGTAGTTGGGCAAAACCCTTGGTAATTGAAGTGGAATAGAAATCTGGTCAGCAGTTGAACCTCGTTGCTCAGTTGGTAATACATCGAACAGGAGACTCAGTGAGCGCTGGTTCGAATCCGCCTCCGGTTCAGATTTTTCATTTTTCCCTCAATCATCACCCAGTATAAGTAATAATAAAGCAAAATAATATCGCTGTGAGATAATGCCCTCTATTATTAAGTAGGACTTTTGGAAATCATCACCTTTCCTAACGATCATCTACGTATACTCCTCCATCATTCTGTCGATGTGAGTGTGCCAAAGTTGTGGTTCACTGGATTAGGCAGTTGGCTTTCAAGTTAGAATCCTGCTCCATCTATCGAGGTTTAGATATCCAGATGGTATTGTTAGTCTTCGTACAGCAGATGTTGTCTTTTGCCTAGTGGACGAATCTGGATACCATCATTGAGGCAGCTGGTATCATGAGTCTTTTCCAGTTATTTATTTTGGAGAAGTTATAGCTTCTTAGAACTTTCCCTTTAGATACCGAAAATTAATACTACATTGGATTTTAGGATTTTACTTCACTTCACTTGAAAACTACTGGAAAGGTACAGATGGTTGACACTTCCTGGCTACCTACACCATGGAAAGCTATTTCTTCTTAAGGTAGGTATCTGAAAGCGAAAAAGATTTGTGCACAGGACATCTGCCCTGCCCTATCACACACAGTCTTTTGAGGATTGTTGTTGTAAGATTTGGCTGATCGAATGCTGGACAAAAAACCCCATACTGCTGGCACTGGAAGGCCATGGAGTAGGGAATAGTGTGGTACGTTTGGGCTCAACATTTCTTAATCGCACCCTCCCCGTAGGAAAGGTTAGTATCAACGTGACACTGCTGGACACCCTACTGCTGTCACACCTCATCCAACTAGCAGCTAAACGACTTCACCCTCAAATTCCCACTATAGTTTAGTAATTTACACCACAATAGTAACAGTAGCTACTTTTCATCTCACCATTCACTATCCAACATACCTTTCTAGCATGGCAGGACTCGGAGGGGACAAGGATTCCAGCTGTTATCACTTTCTGAAATAGCTACTGATACTTTTTTGAACAGTTATGTAGTGATTGAGGGAATTGTGGAAAAATTCATATTTTGACGAATATTATTTCCTAGCTGTGGCTTATTGTTTTAGTCAATTGACTTTCAGCCAACTGATCACGGCTTCGGACACCACCTCACCACAAATGAATTTTGGACAGCCAAATGGTATCAGTAGCAGTAGTAGTAGTAGTAGTAGTAGTATCATTAGTTGTCACACATTCTATTCATTGCACAATGTCGATAACAGCATTTCGATTCGATTTCCGATATGATTATACTTCTCATAACTAATGTTTTACATCGGTTAATCTCATCTTAGCTTTTGTATATGTTCTAGGTCATTCTGGTTGCCTTCCAAGGACTTCATCTCTCTTACCAACAGGTAAACATTTGTGTTATTACTCTAGTAAATATGTCCATATAAATTACAAGCGTTACATCTATTTGTGAATATTTTCTCGGGAAAATTAGTTGTTGGTTAGCTACTTCAGATAGCACATAACATCCATTGTCTATTAGATTTTTTTTTATGCGATATAGCACACAACGTTACAGTATTCTCTACTGGATGACGTTACAAACGCAGTCCATTGCTCACATTCATATCGGTGGAGCTATGGCTTATTGGTTCAGGCAGATGACTGTCAACCAAGTGGGTCACAGGTTCAAACATCTCTATACCTACCTACCTCTGTGTAGTCAGAGGTTGACCTAATCCCGGGAGAATTTTCATTAGACCTAGAATACGCAGATGACATCGTCTTGTTGGGTGAAGACGCTGACAAGATTCAGAGTCTTCTGAACACTTTGAGTGGCAGTTTGAGAATGTTTGAGATGCATTTCTCACCACCCTAATGCAAATTGTTACTCCAGGATTGGTCTTCAAAGGTGTCCCACCGTGGCTAACAAAAGAGAGTGAGTGTAGTACATGAGTGTGTCAACCACTTCACTTACCTGGAAAGTAGGATCAACTCTAGTGGCTAGCTCAGTGGACAATGAAACCTCTGCATGAATACAAAAGACTCAGATGGCTTTTGCCAACTCACGCCACCTATGGTGCCAACGTGATATCCTATTGTCTGTCTATTAAGGGTCGTGTGTACTGCACCTGTACATCAATCCACTCTGTCCTACACTATGGCTGTGAAACATGGTCATTGAAGGTGGAAGATGTGAGAAGGCTGGCTTCAGGTGTTTGACAACCGTCGCCTTCATAGCATAAGTTGTGTATTGTGGTGTCACCACGTGAGTAACGCAGAAGTCAGGTGTAGAGTATTAGGGGGGCGGGGAGAGGTAAGACAGTTGACACTGTTGTGAGCCTTCATCGACTGAGTTGGCTTGAACAGGACATGTGTTGAGTATGCCTAGTCGTCAATCGCCTGATCACACAATGTTGGCCGAAATAGGTTCAGGCTGGAAAAAGACATCAAGGCATCAATGTGTGAAGTCTCTGAACATTGGTTTCAACCATGTGAGGTCCGTCGGTGGGCAAGAGAAACTAGTGGTTAGAGACTGACTCTAGGTGATATGGCTCGTAGTGGTGCACATGTATACACACATTATCCTCATCTTAACAACGCTATACTGAATCTCACCACTTTCTTATTCTTCCTTTCTCTCTTTTCGTACTTTATATTTCTTTTGACCGAAATTTCTTTTCTTCATCTTCCACTTGACTGCCTTTTTACTTGATGTACTGACATGAGGTGTGGAAACTCGGAGCGTTAGGCAGTAATGCCTGGTCCTATGTTGATTTTGATGATAACGACTGTGGTTCGGACGGATAGGTAGTACCACTGACCCTCATAGGAGTTTGCATGGGTTTATTGAGTTCTCTTCGATTTCGGTATTCATATCACAGGAGCGACTTAACATCGTATATCATTCCTACAGTGCTAATGATCAGTGGTAATTTTTATAAATGTTGTTGAATAGAAATTATTGTAGACCACTAAAAATTAGGGTAAAGATGAAAAAGTTAATGTACACATAATCAGCTGAGTTATGAAAACGAGAAATCGATACTGGTTCGCATATGAGCACTATACGGAATTATGAGACGATTTGTAAATTGAGTTCAGAATTTTGTACATAGTTGACTGTACCTAAAACTCTAAGGTAGCAAATAGTAATAAGTTTTCATGATTGCATTGATTACCGATGATAGATATGATTAAGTGAAAACTATATTGTGGTCTAGCTTACCTCTGTAATTTGTCCAGGTAATATGCATGACGCTGTTTATAATTGTTATTATTATTTCTTTATTCCTTTGGGTTCCTAGTGGGACATAGGTCTTCAGCAGCATGTATCCATTGCACACTCTCTTCTCTGCAGTCTTTTGAACCTGGCTCTACGACTGCCCACAAGCTTTCATTTCTTCCCCACATAATCTCCTACATTTCACCCCTGCCTCAGATGCCCAACTAGTCGTTTCCCTCTGGATTCCACTCGAGGGCCTGACCTGACGCGTGATGTCTCTGGATGGCCTCCTCAGTGTATGCCCAATCCATCTCCACTTTATTCTACTGCATATTTGTTGGGTGATAGGTTCTCGGTTCGTTGGTTCGTTGCTCGGCCAGAGTTGCTTATTGCTTATTTTTATTATTCTGGCCATCTGATCTGATCTGATCTGATCTGACCTTCATTATGGAGTAAGCGTAGGTGGTAGCTGTTGATGAATGAATGTGTGTAGTTTGTTGAAAATGCTTTTCGTGGCGTCCCAATTTTGTGAAATATACTATACAGAAGCATTGAATTGACTGAACTTGACTGCTGTTGAAAATCCGATTGTTGTTGACGCTTTATGCTGAGTGCAGTAGATCTGCACACTGATTGATTTCAGATCAATGAAAGGCTGTCTTTCTGATCGTGGCTGCTGTGATACCGTGGTGTGTGCCTGTGCCTGTGCCTCCTGTAGTTGAAATGATGCTTTGCTGTCTTGCCTAGGTAGGTGAGAGAGACAACTTCCTTTAGGTTTCTCCCGTTGATGGTGATTGTTACTTCTTGTTGTTGTTGTTGTTGTTTGGTAGTGGTGGTTGGGTATCTTCATCACCTGTGTCTTCTCTACATTCACTTGAAGTTGTGTTTTCGCTGCCGTGTCTCTTCTGTCAACTTGTTGGTTTTTACCTGTAGATCTTCGAGTTTGTGCAACAAGACATTAGACATAAGTAGTCATCATCATTGGCGAAATCCAAATGTTCTAGGGTGTTTTCATCGGTGCAGCCAGTGTATGGCTATCTTCTGGCTCCTTACAGTTTGTTGCATGATGCATTCTACCACAATGAGGAAGATCATGGGTGATAGTAGGTGGCAGCGTTGTCTTACTCCTGTCCCCTGTCTTCACTTCAAAGGGTTCACTGAGCTTTCCATTGTGAATCACTTGGTATATGGCATCACGTCGGATGAAGCTGTTGTTGAATGAGTTTGATAAAGGTTTGTGGCACTTGAACCGTAGTGTAGAAGCAGCTGCCTGACAAATTACTTGTCGGTCGACGGTATCGAAGGCCTTTTCAATGTCGATGTGTTCTGTGGTCTGTTCTATGAGGATGTGTAGTGTAGCTTTGCAATTTGATTTGCACATGATTTCTGCTTTCTGAATCAGGCAGCCAGCCAGCATCCTATTTTGGTCGTAGTTTTGAATGGAGAGCATCTGTTAGTCTCTCGAGGATGATGCGGCATAGTATTTTGCTTGCTTTGGGTGGACGGGAGGATTATTCCCCGCCAGTTGTTGCAAAGACCTAGGTCTGTTTTGTTTTTGAGTTTGATAAGGTATCCCTTCTTGGAATCAGTTGGCAGATGGGTACCTTTCCTTCCTTCGTTCCTTCCTTCGTTGCAAACCTTGTGTAGTAGTGGTGTGAGCCTGTCTGTCATGTGTTGTCTCTGCATCTGTTTTGAGTGGTTCTGGTGGAATTCTACCTGGTCTTTCTGGTTTTCCGGCTTTCAGCAACTTTATGGCTTTCAGGACTTCTACTTTTGTCTGAGGGCTTGTGTTCACTGGTGGTTTTGTGGCTGGACTGGTGGTGGTAATTCTGGATGAGTTGCATGTTGTGGTGGATTGAAGAGTTTTATAAGTGGTCAGCCGGTTGTTTCTTTTTTTCTCCTGTTTGGTAACTAGGTTTCCTTCACTATCTTTCATTGTTTTCGTTTGTGTTGATCTCTTCCCAGATAGCAAGTAAGCAAGCTGGTTATTTGATATAGTGTTGTCAGGTCTGTGTCCCTCCTACGAGCAGCTTGTTCTGCTTCAGTTGTAAGTGTGTTGTGGAAGTGTTTTTGTTTTTGCGCGCACTCTTCTTCACACCTCTCTGTCGAGTGTAGAGTTTCATAGGTTGTACTGCTTTCCTCTTTTCGTTGTGCACCCTTGCAGTGGTTCATCTTATGCTTCATCATCTTCCTGTCGTGTATGATGTTCCATGTGTCTGTCGAGATCCATTCCTTATCTTCTTCCTTCGTAATTCGATTATGCAGTTTCTTTCCACATCTGTTTCGAAGAGTGTCGCTGTTCTTCCACTGAGATGTCTTCAGGGATGTTGCTCAGTGTCTTCCGTTTTCTCCTGTTGACTGACTGACGTGTTGTCCTTTGTAGTTTCGTGCTTCAGTTTCTTTTGTGGGTGTTCAACTGGAACTGTGGTCTATCAGCAACTTGTTTGAAGGTTTTCAACTTGATTTAGAAGGTAGGTTGCTTGCAGTAGGTGGTGAGTGGTGTGAACCTACATCTGCTCCCCTTCTTGATTTGATTTTGTGTCCAGTAGGTTGGCTGTGTCTCGACTTTATTCAGATTGAGATGAAGTTGATGTGATTTTTAGTGTGTCCTGGTGTCTGGTGAAATCGAATCCATGTGATTTTGTGAATGTGGTTGTGTTTGTACACCGTGCCTCTAATCACGAAATCGTTGAATGCGCAGAAGTCTCTATTTTTCTTCATTGCACCGCGTGCTTGTCGACTGATGATTGGTATTGGTTCTCTTCCTGTGTTGTCCACTTCGAGTTTGGCATTCATGTCAGCTCACCCATTCGAATGAATTTTGATGTCACCATGTAGGGTGTGGTGTTGTGCATTAGTGATTGTAGTTATCTGTGGAATTCCTCCTTCTTCTCTTGATCTGCGTTGGTCGTAGGTGCAGAGGGTAGCATTGTATGATTGTATGACTTTCCTTGTTTTTGAGTTGAATCGATTTTGCTATCATGATGCTGCAGGAGGAGATTGGTTCCGAGTGTATGAGAGGGAGTGATCGATGCTCTTTAAGGGGACATCATGATAGCCAGTTGAAAATTCAGTGTGTTCGTGGTTGTCGTTTGGGTGACGATGTGGGAGTAGATAATTGACTGTTTAGTTGGAAGTTTGAAGAGTTCACTTCGATTCCACCTATTTTCTCAGATTTGA